TGCTTTCCTGAATAAGGTGCAAGTTGTTCTTAACATATTACTAAAGGTACAATTTGGCATTGGGTTAAAACAATGCGGGTAAAACAGCCATTCAGAAGGCAACAAGTGAATTTCAGGGAAAACAAAGGTAATAAATTACCCACATTTTTGGTAAAATATAAAAGACGAGGAAATAGATACCCTACATGCCAAACCTTAAATTTATGTGCGCCTATGAAATTGAGTCAAGCTTCAGAACCCTAAATTTTCTATAGAGGACACTTGAAACAAGGTAATCAATTTAGCGTTATGGAGGAGGTCTGGGGGTAGAATTATTGCTCTCACTCTGGCGTGCATGGCGATATGTAACATGTGTATTGCAATCAACATTTTCACGTGTAGGCTGCAAAAGTGTTAAGGGCATATGTAGAAGGAGCACAAGCCAGAACACACGTTCTTTGGAGACAAAGGGGGTACGCCTGATGTCCAGCACAATGGCGGCTGAAGGAAATCCAGTGCATTCTTGACCAAATTTAACCAACTGTACAAAAAAAGGCAACCATCCTAACCTCTAACTATCCTTTGCACTAAGGTGCACATGGAAGGGCAGCAGACATCCCAGACAAAAACAAAAGGTTTCCCAGCACACTTTGCCTTCACCAGCTGAGAACCAAAAACAACCAAACTGACCCTGTCTAACAATTTCACATTAAAAACAGAGGGTTTTTAACATGACTTGGAGTCAATTTGGTTGTACTTCTACCAAGCAGTAAATACACGTTAAAACAGTGACCTCTGTAGGTTTCTTTCACTCTGCAGCTCAGCTCCCTCTGTCAACAGTGAATTGAGAGTGTGCCTGACTTCTAATTTCTAATCTAAACACAGAACATGAAAAAAAAACAACCAAAACTGACCTGTCTACAAGACAAGGGTAAAGAAAGAAAAATGCTAGTATCCTACTTTGACCATGTCAATTTCATAGCTCATTTATTGCTTTATAAGAATATGTAAATGCTTGAATGTCCAAAACCATTCTACTTTTAAAGTAGTATTAATCCCAAAAACAAAATGAAATTGTATCATATTGCAGATTACCAATTCTTAGATGTGGTGGCTGCATTCCTTTTTTTTTTTAGATTTTTTTCCTTTTTTTTGCTCTGTTGATCTGGACAGTGAGTCTATTACTTTTTTAACTTAGAATACTAAGCAATCCAGTAAAAGTGGCAGTTAGTGGGTTAAGACAAACCATTTGACACTGACAGGAGTTCAGAGGAACTGAAGGCATTTTACTAAAACTTGCAAGCAGGCTATTTATAACAGAAGAGACATGCAATGTCTCTTCTAGAACAAAATACATCTACCTGCCTACTTGCAATTCTGAGGCATGTTAACTGAAAACACCTCTGCTTACATCACTGTCATCATCTCTGATGACCAATTTATGTGTATGCACATGTGGTGTTACATCATCCTGCACTGGCCAATGAAGATGGCCAAAGACCAGCACCTAGTGAGAAGATCATGATGATGGTGAGGGATTCCTAGCAGACTTCAGACCAATAGAGAGGAGGTAAGTATAGTGACTTTAATTCCATTGTAATCTGCTAGTGTATCTAGCAGTACACTCTCCCTAGAATTACAATTCTGCTGTTCAAGAGTGTCTCAATGCTCCTCTGTCCAGCATGGAGACACCGTAAGACAGGACGAGTGTTAAAGGCCAGATCACTAGGTGAAAAAAGTCAAAAAAAGTCTACGCAACTGGAAAAAAAAATAAAACTAAAGCAGCCACCACATCTAAGGATTGGTAAAATGCAAAGTGGCTGAAACCCTTACATATACCCAATGAATTGACTGGCCCCAGACAATACACAGAGATTAAACAAATCCTCCTACATAAACTATACCTGTTTATCTGCAATTTTCTTTTCTCTACATCTATTCAATGTGCTGAATTGTAAAGCTTGTCTGAGAGTTAACAAAACTCTGCAGAGCTCAATGATGACAGTTCTGAGAGCTGATTGGAGGGAAGAGACACATCCTCCTCCACACAGCTCACACGAACAGAGCTGAGGCTGTAACTCTACTGGAGGTCCCTCCCTGACACCATATTTCTCTTGGTGTCAGGAAAACCTTTCAGAAGTGCTAACAACAGGGGAAAGAAGCAGCAGACAGAAATGACACTTGATGCTCTTAATTGAGGCAAGTGCACACTATATAGGGATATGCTTTGTTAATATTTCATATCTGAGGGTTACAACCACTTTAAATGTTTGTATTAAAGCGTTACACTTCTGTATTAAAGTGTTTGTGTTATATACAGGTGAAACTTGAAAAATTAGAATATCGTGCAAAAGTTCATTTATTTCAGTAATGCAACTTAAAAGGTGAAACTAATATATGAGATAGACTCATTACATGCAAAGCAAGATAGTTCAAGCCGTGATTTGTCACAATTGTGATGATTATGGCTTACAGCTCATGAAAACCCCAAATCCACAATCTCAGAAAATTTGAATATTGTGAAAAGGTGCAATATTCTAGGCTCAAAGTGTCCCACTCTAATCAGCTAACTAAGCCATAACACCAGCAAAGGGTTCCTGAGCTTTTAATTGTTCTCTCAGTCTGGTTCAGTAGGAATCACAATCATGGGAAAGACTGCTGACCTGACAGTTGTGCAGAAAACCATCATTGGCACCCTCCATAAGGATGGAAAGCCTCAAAAGGTAATTGCAAAAGAAGTTGGATGTTCCCAAAGTGTTGTATCAAAGCACATTAATAGAAAGTTATGTGGAAGGGAAAAGTGTGGAAGAAAAAGGTGCACAAGCAGCAGGGATGACTGCAGCCTGGAGAGGATTGTCAGGAAAAAGCCATTCAAAAGCGTTGGGGACTTTCACAAGGAGTGGACTGAGGCTGGAGTCAGTGCATCAAGAGCCACCACACACAGACGGATCCTGGACATGGGCTTCAAATGTCGTATTCCTCTTGTCAAGCCACTCCTGAACAACAAACAACTTCAGAAGCGTCTTACCTGGGCTAAAGAAAAACAGATCTGGTCTGTTGCTCAGTGGTCCAAAGTTCTCTTTTCTGATGAGAGCAATTTTTGCAACTCATTTGGAAACCAAGGACCCAGAGTATGGAGGAAGAATGGAGAGGCACACACTGCAAGATGCTTGAAGTCCAGTGTGAAGTTTCTAAAGTCTGTGTTGATTTGGGGAGCCATGTCATCTGCTGGTGTTGGTCCACTGTGCTTCATTAAGTCCAGGGTCAACGCAGCCGTCTACCAGGAGATTTTTGAGCACGTCATGCTTCCTTCCGCAGATGAGCTTTATGGGGATGCTGACTTCATTTTCCAGCAGGACTTGGCACCTGCCCACACTGCCAAAAGCACCAAAACCTGGTTCAATGACCATGGGATTACTGTGCTTGATTGGCCAGCAAACTCGCCTGACCTGAAGCCCATAGAGAATCTATGGGGCACTGCCAAGAGAAATATGAGAGACATGAGACCGAACAATGCAGAAGAGCTGAAGGCCGCTATTGAAGCATCCTGGTCTTCCATAACACCTCAGCAGTGCCACAGGCTGATAGCTTCCATGCCACGCCGCATTGAGGCAGTAATTGCTGCAAAAGGGGCCCAAACCAAGTCCTGAGTACATGTGCATGCTTATACTTTTCAGAGGTCCAATATTGTTCTATGTGCAATCCTTGTTTTATTGATTGCATGTAATATTCAAATTTTCTGAGATTGTGGATTTGGGATTTTTTCATGAGCTGTAAGCCATAATCATCACAATTATGACAAATCATGGCTTGAACTATCTTTCTTTGCATGTAATGAGTCTATCTCATATATTAGTTTTCACCTGTTTTACTGTTGAATTTTTACATCATCTCTTTTTTTTTTTTTTCTTTTTTTTTTTAGGAGATGATGTAAAAATTCAACAGTAAAACCAAAGAGAAAGTGAATTTCTGAAAGTTTACATGTTGCAGGCATGTGAAGAAACCTGAGCACTTCCTAGATCTTTTCCTCCCTCCTCTGTCTGGGATCTTCAACCAAGCCAGGGGGACCATTGGGAGGAAATAGCCCCTCAAAGGTGGAGACCTTCCTAAATCTGGAGCTTCTGTGTTTGCTGATGGCTTGGAGCTGTTCCTGATGGGAATGTGAGCAGAGTGTGACCTGTGTGTGAGCAGTATCATCCTATGTGTCCACATTGAGCTTGATGACCCTGCAGCCCCTGTCCAGACCTAGATGACTCCTTAACCACTTGCCTACCAGGCACTTATACCCCCTTCCTTACCAGGCCAATTTTCAGCTTTCAGCGCTGCCGCACTTTGATTGACAATTGCGCGATCATGCAACATTGTACCCATATGAAATTTTGATCATTTTTTTCTCACAAATAGAGCTTTCTTTTGGTGGTATTTAATCGCAACTGGACGCTTTACTTTTTGCGCTATAAAATAAAAAAAGTACAAAAAATTTGAAAAAAAAAAAAAAAAAGTTTGTTTCTTTTATAAAATTTTTCAAACAGGTATGTTTTCTCCTTCACTGATGTGCGTTGATGAGGCAGCACTGATGGGCACTGATAGGCAGCACTAAAGGGCACTGATAGGCAGTACTAATGAGGTGGCACGGATAGGCGGCACTGATAGACAGCACTAATTAGGGGTCACGGATAGGCGGCACTGATATGCAGCACTGATAGGCGGCACTGATTATGGGTACTGATAGACGGCACTGACTGGCATCACTGCTGGGCACTAACTGGCGGCACTGACTGTCACAACCCCTGGGCACTGACTGGTGGCACTGACTGGCAGCACTGCTGGGCTGCACTGGTGGGTGGCACTGGTGGGCAGCACTGGTGGGTGGCACTGGTGGGCACAGGTGGGTGGGCACAGGTGGGTGGCACTGGTGGGCACAGGTGGGTGGCACTTCTGGGCACAGGTAGGTGGCACAGGTGGGGGCACTGCTAGGCACAGGTGGGGGCACTGCTAGGCACAGGTGGGGGCACTGCTAGGCACAGGTGGGCGGAGCTAGTGGGCGCACTGCTGGGCGGAACTTGCGGGTGTCACTGCTGGGCACCGATCATCAGGGCACTGATCATCAGTGCCCTGATGATCGGTGCCGATCCCCGCTCTGACAACTGCCGGTTCTCGGCAGTACTTTCCGCACGATCTGACAGCGTGAGGAAAGTGCAGCCGAGAACCGGCACTTGCATTTCCCTGTGATCAGCGTGTCATTGGACACCGCTGATCACGTGGTAAAAGGCCGCTGTGATTGGCCTTTTACCACATCACGTGATCAGCTGTGTCCGTAGGACACAGCGATCACGGAGATCGCCGGGTGCGCGCCCCCTGGGGCGCACAGGAGAGCGCGTTCTGGGAGGACGTCATATGACGTCCACCCAGAACTGGCCGGCCGCGGTGAAGCCGTCATTCGGCTATGCGCGGGTCGGCAAGAGGTTAAAGGATACATCGTTTTCATGCGCATATTTTATGCGCTTCTAGTAAGTGCATCATTTTACTGGTCCTTGTCATTTGAAGTTCACCAGCACGGAGCACAAACCACCATATACGCGCCTCAGTAGCGCTCAATCTGTATTTTTAAGATTTTTCATCATAACTTGCTGTGAATTACTATCTAGCGCTGCATATATTTATTACTATTTATTTTAAATCTTCTGTAATATGACATCTGAATGCTTCAAACTTACACTTGTATCCAGAAGGTAGAGAGCTAAAGTTTTATGATGTATGCCTAGCTGCTACTCGAACCCACAGGGTTTAATTTACTAAAGCAGCAGAGAATGTTCAATTTGCAAAGTTAATAATGTGAAATTATGATTACATAATAACTCAAAATCTCACTTATTTCAATACTCTAAATCAGGGGTCCAAACTTTTTAATCAAAGGGCCAGTTTACTGTCCTTCAAACTTTAGAGGGGCTGCAATGTGGCCACTGGGAGTAGAATATGTCCCAGCATCAGTTGGAGTAAATAATGCCCCATCCTTGGTGTCATTGGGAGGAATTGTGCCTCATTATTGGTGTCATTGGTAGGAATAGTGTCCCATCACTGGTGTGATTGGGAGATATTGTGCCCCATCGTTGGTGTCATTGGGAGGAATAGTGCCCCATCATTGGTGTCATTGGTAGGAATAGTGTCCCATCACTGGTGTGATTGGGAGATATTGTGCCCCATCGTTGGTGTCATTGGGAGGAATAGTGCCCCATCATTGGTGTCTTTGGTAGGAATAGTGCCCCATCATCGGTAAGAATAGTGTTCCATCATTGGTGTGATTGGGAGGAATTGTGCCCCATCGTTGATATAATTAGGTAGAATTGTGGCCCATCATTGGTGTCATTGATAGGAATTGTGCCCTATCATCCGCGAAGGGGCGCGAAAACAAAAACCCGATTAGTGTACAAAAAATGTGCAAGTGCAAAAACACCAACACAAAAAAAGTGCACTTGGGGGCTGTGCTGTTAGTCCACCCCCTGGAGGGGTAGGACCTCTACCCTGATTCCCAGGGGTGCAAGGCTCCTGACAGGGACAAAGGGTACCTGACATGGTCAAAAAGGCCTGGCGTACCCCTTTCCTTGTGATCAGCCAAAGCCGACCATCAAGTATTGATCTAGGGGCTGTCCCGAGGAGAGACAACCCCCCCAGGGATCGGGGGAGGAAGGAACCTGTGGGCCACACATCCTCCACCTAGACGTCAGGGCAGGCCAGAGGCCACACCCTCCATCCATTGAGGGAAAAAAAACACACACATAAGTGAAAGTGAGACAAACGTGAGGAGAAAAAGTAAATGAGTGGCCATGCAATTGTGCACTGGCTAGGCCCTGAAGCCCGTAGCAAAAAAATTGCCCTGGACTTAGTCAAAAGGCCTAGCCCTAAAAGGGCAGTGCAGAACAAGTGTTAGGATCAGTGACCATGTGCACTTTTCACACGTGGGATCCCATCCCCATGTGCTACTAAGAGCACCCCTAATCACTTCCAGGGGGCACTGCTCCACGGATTCTCTGCCTTCCCGGCCCCTGGCCAGACAAGGTATACCTATTCAAATCAGGTGGAACTGGGCCCCTTCGGTTTTCCCGGGGGAATTACTCCCGGCCCCAACAACCTGTGGGTGCCTCACTTTCTCTTCCAGCTGGTACTAGCCTTCAGAAATAGCTTTTAAATTATTGTGAATTCTACATCTGCTGCACTGAAATCTCAGACAGTGTTCGCAGCCCTACCTAGTTGAACTGTGGACCAATGAACACATTTTGCCTATGTTATGAAGAGGCGAAGAGGTTCTGTAGTCAAAATCAGAAGCAAACAGCCTAGGGTTAAAACACTGCTCCTCCATAGATACAGTACAGTGAGTGAGTGTTGCCACCCCAGAACAGGAAGAATGTTACAAGCAGGGTCACAAGATGAATAAAGTGAACAAATGCAGTCACCGCATCAAGGGACTGGTAAGCTGCAATATATACATTTTATGTGCTTGGGTTTGGATACATTTAAAGCATTCTTCACTATATTCTGTCTAGTTATATTTTCCTGTTGATCCCCAAGCCCTACTCCACAGCAGCTGCAGTTTCCATAGTTTGCATTGATTATAACCAACTCTCCTGCAATAGTTTACTATGCTTCCCTAAAACTTTGTTTTAGGGAATAAAAAAAAAAGTACACTGCAAAAGAAGAGGATTAACAATAATCTGTCCAGCAGGCAGTGTCTTAACAGACTTCTAGAAGTGTTGGATGCCTGGGCACCTGCTGCATGCTGTGGTTCCATTGGGCACTATGTTGCCACAGTGTCCTGTAGTGATATAACGGCTTGCAGGTTAAACTACAGCATGCACTGGAGGACCAAGCATCCAAAACACCCAGAAATGTGTCAGAAGTTGAAGATTTTTTGACAGCTAAAGCTTTTCAAATGTGTGAAAATAAAAATAAGACAGGTCAAACATTCAAACTTAGAAGGCCCCTTTCACACAAACACACCAATCAGGTACTCCTGTTCATTTTTCAGGCAGACCCCATCGGAACCTCCATTCTCCTCTATGGAATGGCAGGTGTGATCAGACATGTGTCTGTTTACACCCACCTACCTCCAATCCGTGATCCACGAAAAACAGACGGATGTGGATTTGTTCCCCTTCCGTCCAGCAGATCCATTTACATCAGACCACCGATAGAGGAGAGCAGGCGGAGTCCATGTCCGCTCTGCATAAGTGGAGTGGACACGTACCTGTCATCTGTCTGCTCAGCAGGGATCAGCAAATAGATCAATACTAAAAAAGCGGATCGCAGGGGACGTTCACCCCGTGTATTAGGCCTTAAGATGCATTTTGTTTATTTATTTAAAGACAGAGTCACTTAAAATGAGGAATAAACCCCTTGTTTTTTTTATTTTTGATGGAATGACCTGTAAATACTTTCAGTTTTAAGAGGGCTCTTCTATACTTCTAAAAGAATATAAGTTTAAAGCTCAACTCTGGACTTTGCCCCCTAGGCAGTAATTTCTGCTTTATTCCGCTCCCTAAAGTGTTCAGGCCTGTCACATGATTCCTTTTTGCTCTCTTCTAAGGGCTGTGTGATCCTTAGTAATGTAAAAAAGGACACTGAAGTGATGAAGTCAGTGCCATGTCTGCACCTTTAAAGGGAATGTAGGGAGTTACAGCTGCACGATGTCTTGCACTCACAGTATGTCATCGGTCTTCTAGATGGAATGACACTGGTCAACATTCAATCTTGAATACTGAGAGCATCTTGTGGGAAAAATAAATTACTGCAATTGAAGACTTTAAACTAAGAGAACTGAAGCCTGAACTACTTTTTTTAACCACTGGGGAATATTAAGTCTACATTCACACGGGAGTTCATGTGTAGCCAGGGGACATCAGTAGCTTCTTGACAGCGGTTGAAAATGCTGTTGTACACAGGGGCGGACTGACCATTGGAACACTCGGACACTGCCTGAGGGCCCAGGGTCAGTAGGGGGCCCCATGGGATGCCCCTGGTACCTTTCATTGGCTTTTTCATAGGCTTTTTTGGGTGTTGGTGAGGACAAAGGGGCCCCATGATCCCCTATTGCCCGGGGGCCCCATGAGTTGTCAGTCCAATCCTGGTTGTACATGCTGTGTGTGCGAAAAGCTGCAGGTGTCAGTTGTCAGATTTGTACTCTCTCATCTGAGAGTACATGCCAAAGCTGGCCCAGGAATCAGCCAGCGTGCATCCAGGGTCAGTGTTTCTGTGGAGTTTTGGCCATACACAAACTTAGTACAGGTAATCAACCAGTTTGCATAGCACAGGCTGTTGCTGTGGCCAGAGGTGGTGTTTACTCTGAAAAAAAGTACTTAAATGGGAATTTCAATACACACAAAATAAATCAACACAAACCAACTAAATATATATACAGAACCACAAAAATATTTATTTTATTGATTACATACAAAGATTAAAAAACCACTACTTGTAAGCACTATAGTACTATATGAGTCTTGTAGGGTAGGTCTACGCATTTTGTGGGTGTTTCCGCTTCTTCAGGACTCAAAATAATTTATTTAAAGGATGTACAGTTGTACAAATTGTATAAAACAATCTAAGAAAAGAAAAAATATATAAACAAACAATGTCTAACACATTAATAATAATAATATGTCCACAAAAACCTTATTTGTGTTATGTAAGAAACTTTTCTTTTTTTTTTTTGAGACTGACTTTTTCTTACATAAGACAAATAAGGTTTTAGTGGACATATTTGTTTGTATACACAGTATGTGTGTTAGACATTGTTTTTTTTTAATTTTATTTTTCTTTTCTTAGATTGTTTTATACAATTTGTACAACTGTACGCTCTTTCGATAAACTATTTTGGGTCCTGAAGAAGTGGGAATGCCCGCTCAACGAGTAGACCTACACTACAGGATGCATAAATTACTTAGGAAAAATTGCTTACATGTACTGGTGTTAATGTTTGTATATAATCAATAAAATAAATGTTTTTGTGATTTTATATATTTATTTAGTTGGTTTATGTTGATTTATTTTGTAAACACTAGAAGTACTGTATATTGGAAGCCCCATTTAAGTACTTTTTTGCAGAGTGTTCATCATACGGGACGATACCCTGGTAGTTCAATTTATTAGTTACCCCATTTACTCTATATCTTCAGTAGAGTTTAGCCACCTCTGAACACACAGAACTCCCGTGTGAATGTAGCCTCAAAAAAAAAAAAAAAATTACACAGGGTTGGGCTGTAAAGTGGAAGTAAAGTGCCACACTAAATGCAATTTATGGGCCTCCATTTAAGTTTTT